TTTCTCTTTGCGTGGCTCTTTCGTCTCCTGTTTCTCGGCTTTCAGTTCTTCATATTGATTTCCTCCCACTGTCTAGGCCTGAAAAATCCTTCCGTACACTTCCAAACACAAAGCGTACACTCATCAGCATGTCATTATCTTTACCCCGTCCAGTCACTTTAACTACACACAGGTGATCTGAAATACAACAGGAAGTGGAGTAAGGAGTCACCTGTCATTTTCAGCGTCACTGCGTTGCTTCGATGTTCTGTTTTCTTTTTCTTGCACCAGAAGGTGACTCTTTCTGCCCCTTTCAATTCAGCAAATATAACAGCTCTCTTCATCTTCTCATTAACATTGACTCCATTGACCATCGTCCGCCTGCAGCATCAGGTGTCTTCCTTCTCCTTTGGTCATCACAGCACCTCCTACAGATGGAGAGAGCTGAGCGTGAGGCTCCAGCTCTGAGAGAGAGAGAGAGAGAGAGAGAGAGGTCATGAGAAACAGCAGGAGGAACAGAACAGACGATCATGAACGTTTAGGATGGTGTTCATACCCAGTACAGTGAGTGTGAACAGGTCACTTCTCGGTCCGCCCTGCTCACATTCATACGCCTCGTTGTTTTTTGGTGCCACTGCAGTAAGAAGAATAACTGAATAATTCAGATGTGATTGTTGTGTTCCATCAATAATCCATTTTGTTGGTTTACTCCCTCCTTTATGGTTACAGATCAGAGTGACGTCATCTCCAACATACACCTGTGGGAACTTCGGCAGGAGAGACACTGAGAGAAAGAAAACCAGACATATGACAGAAGCGTATTCTCTAACAGCAGGTTGTCTGACTGCTTTATTATTAAGAAATATGATTGATTGGCAGTAATTGAACACAGTGATTTAGTGCTGTCTGCAAAAAAAATAAAGTTCACTTCCTGGAATGGATGTTCATGCATGTATTTATGCATTCCTGTGTGCATACAGTACATGCATTCCTGCATGCATACATGTATGCATTCATCCATGCATTAAATAAATAAATACATAAATAATAAATGCTTTTCATGACTATGCTAGAAACATCAGGATGCTCTTTGTGTGATGATGTCTTTGTGACACTAGATCTACACACCTTATAAATGATTAAAGATGTGCACTTGAATTTACTCAGCGCTGTGCTCGGAATAGATTTGATACTGTATGATATTAAATCTTTTGTTGTTTTGAGGATCAGGCAGAAAACATCTGTTTAACACATGGTGTGGTCTATAGATAAATGTGTCATAAAACACGTTTATGTATTTACCTGTTGGTTTCTGTCCCTTGTTCCCCCTTATGAGAGCCAACAACACTGTGACATAAAAAGATCAATACGATCTGGATTTGACTTCTAGATTAAAAACATACAGCTTTAGTAAATGCAGAGACAGAAAAAAGGGCTGTTTGTTTCCATCTCCTGGGCAAATTCCGAAGTTTCTCATAAGATGCAGATTTATTGGAATGAGACAGACACACCACGTCAATTCTGGGCTTAAAGTCCCCATGAAATCAAAAATGATTATTATTTTTTTGTATGGATATGATCAAGTTTATCTATTAGCTAGTGTGCTCCAAAACAAAACTTGCATTTAGGAAATATAAGCATTCAAAACTTGAATCAAAGATTTTGATTATATAATTGAAAAAATATAAACGAAGCGCTATTGGCTATTTAAAAAAGGGGGCAGGACTGCTCGATATGTCTTCCTGCTTCAGTTTAAATTATGCAAACACAAAGAATAAGGCTGCGAGTTTCAAGGCACTTCAGTGGATCTTTAAAACACCACCAGAACAAAGACCTGCCAGCTGTAAGTCTAAAACCACATTGAAAACCTGGGAATTTTATTTTATTTTATAAAATAATTTTATAAAATAGAGTTCTGAAGAGTATAATTCTACACTACTTCTAGGCCAGTAATCAAATGCAATAGTGATCTTTTCTTACATAACGGCATTGACATTTTAGACACCTAAGTCATATTTAAATGGACTGTGTCTTAATGTTATTATGCATTTGACAAAATATCAAACCAAGGAAACGGCTCGTGCAAAACTTGCTGTTTTTAACTTTTACTATAGGGCCTATATTTCCCACAAATGTTTGTAATATCAACAAATTAGCCTATCTTGCTTGTTTTGAAAAGGGTTTAGCATCATCATCTGGTCTCCATTTGATGCTTCAACGGTTATATTTCTGTCAGGAGTACAAATAAAAACATGCAAAATCAAAACAGGACCACTTTCATGCCTTTATTACAAATAATCAATCGCGAGACGAACCCAACCCGTTGCACTTTGGTAAATTGTTAAAGAAAGCGTCTTATGAAAAACAGTTAAATCCAAGAAATATTGATATATTATCCACTGTTTACATCAGATTTAATCTGCAAGATCTGCCCTCTCTATATCGTCATTCTCTTAGAAATTATGCAGTCTGAATACCGTTTATGTTATGGGACAAACTTCCCGTGGCTTGAACTGTAGGCCAAACCGAAACCTCTCTTGTTTTCTGGCACATGATGTAGGCCTATTGTTAAATAAAAATAAAAAAAATAAAAAATCTGCAAAAACGTTTTCCATTTCAATATGCTTCAGCTTCTGTTTTTAGGGTGAATTCATGTAAAGTGGGCCACTTTTTTGTTAAACTTGAAACTTAGATACCAGACACTTGTCTTGTCTTTATTACCTTTGTTTACTTCATGCACTCCAGACAAATGTCTTTTCAGGTAAATTGGGTCATTTCTGATTTATCAAAATGTATCTTAATTAGAAATTATAAAAATATTTATGTATCTTTTTTGTTTGTTTGTTAACAAATGATCAAACAAACATTTTAACAACATATTTAACAAAAACACATAGCCCAGGCTATGAGTAAAATTCATAAGTTTAATGAAAAAAACCCCAACATCTTTACAACATATTAAATGTGACTATAATAACACATGAAGCAACAGATGGGTGATCAAAAAATTGAATAAAAGAGATATTTAAAATATAATATTGTTAAACATTTTTCTATCTGTTTTCTCTAAACACATTTGAACTTTAATTGTGACCCTATTTTAAAGCTTTATACTCTGCATCTACATTTAGCTTCACTCCAGATTCTGCATCTACATTTCTGCTTCACCTCTGTCCTTCTGCAGTTGTTTTCTAAAAAGCCAGTTATACATGTCATTTAAAAACAAAATCGGTGAATGTCAATTTATTTTAAGAAATGTGAGTAGAATTAGTGACGGTTCAAGGTGGCCCACTTTAACTAGCACACTTGGCCAAAGTGGGCCATCAATATTTAACCATCTTATAAGAAATTTTTTAAATGTATTTTCTGCTGGGCCTCTGCTAAAACTGATTATGTTTGTATATTTTCAGCAATTGTCATTGATTTTGTGATTTAGATTTTACTGATTGAGAGATATAATGTGACAAGGATTTTAACTTTCCCCCAAAGTAAACCATTTGAACCTGATCCCCAAACTGTCTAAAAGTTGTCAGAATCAACCAACTAATCAATCAATCAACCAACCAATCAATCAATCAATCAATCAATCAATCAATCAATCAATCAATCAATCAATCAATCAACCAACCAACCAATCAATAAAAAAATTAATAAATCTGTATCAGGTTACAAGAGACCAAGGCATCATTTATATACAATTTATTTTGACACACTCAGAAATACACATGGATTTTATGAGGAACAGGAATAAAACATGTAATGACAAACCAGTGTGTGTAACCAGGAAAGCAAATCAATCCTGCAGTGACCTCTTGTGGTGAACGTCGACACGACTGGCTTTGACGATGGACACCAATTTTGCCCTTTAGAAAGACTGAACTACAGTTGCATTGCAGTAAAAATTTTATATTGCATTCAGTTTTACAGCTGTGCTCTATTTGATATACATCCTCGAATTATAAAGCTGAAAATGCTTTAAGTTCTTGAAATGCTTTAAAAAACAACAACATACAAAACAACAATGTGCATGAACTAAAATTAAAATCTGAAAATAAACATGATGAAACATTGAAATAGTGCAAACAGGCTACAGTGCAAATGCATTTACTGTTGAATGAGAGTGACACAAGCTGAGAAATATTACTTATCTGTAAGAGATAGCATAATCTGTATAACTATAAATTCACAGACATTCACAATTGATTCTGTGTAATTCTGTGCGAATGCAGTTGCAAATGTGAAACTACTGTATATGCTGAGTATGCTTGAAGCTTATTTATGTGTGATATATATGTGCTTTAAATCCTATTATTTATAGGATGTATAAAAGTTGTCATCAAAGTTGTCAATAGCATCAAAATGCTATTGATTACATTTTTTTGTCGTCTTTGTCCTGTTATATACAGAATTATGTATCTGAATTCTCATAAATGTGTGAATCTGTGTATGGTAACTGCAATCTTGTTTGCTACTTTTTTGTGCAAACTGAGACTATTATATATACAGTATATATATATATATATATATATATATATAT